ACTTTATTGCTGAACACTTAAAACCATTTTAACGGGTAATGAGATCTGTATACAAAGGTTGAATTATGAGATTTGCAATTATGCATTCAACCGGCAGTTCTCATTATTAATATGCATAAGCCCAAAACATTTGGCCGAGAACTTACTCGGCTCCTCGTTAAATAATAATAATGAAATCGATTCCCGTTTTTCGTCGTTAATGATTTAAAATACATAATAATATTATATTGTCGATGGTGGCAGATCTTACTGCTTTGGCCTGAAGTGACAAACGGTAAAATAATAAAATAATAATCCGTATAATTTTTCCACTGAACAATAATGAAGGCATTTATATATTGTACGTATACTTACACATATATATTTTTGGTATCAACGACGGGGTTATAATTAGATACAATAATTACAGAGTTACTTTACTTTATAAGTAGATAATTTTAAATTTGACTTATACTAGTCGATGGAGTTCTGTTTCATTAATAATATATTATTAGTACGTATAACTATTAGTTTGTTGACTATTGTGCCAATATTATTTAACGAGCAACGACCAACTTGCCTAAATATTGTTTTCTAATAATTTGTGATTTTTTTTTTGCTTGCGAATTATTTGTAGTCTACATTATGGTAGTATTGTTTTCAGTTGGGTGTATGTAATACTTAATTAATTTTTGAATTATCAGATCAAAATGTATTTTAAGTACTATAAATGATGTGCATTTTATACCGATAATTATATAATATTATTCGTGAGCCACAGCTGATATTATTATTTTTTTAATTTTTTTTTTTTTTTAATTTGTGTATATTTAAAGGAAACAATAATAATGTCAAATATGTAAAATCTATTAAAAATAAATCGTATTATATTTGTGAACCTATCAAAATTTTTTTAAGTATATTCATTGTACAATATTATTTTATAGAAATGCCCTGTATACTTAGTCTCCTAGTATTTTAATTTAATTTAGTTAACTTAAAAATAATTATATAATATTATTATACTATATGCAATAAAATAGTATAATTATTATCAAAAACTTGACTATCATTTTATAAAATGTACTCATGGAATTTAAAGTATCAGAAAGTTGTAATAAAGTTTATCTTAAATTTATAGCAAAGCAAGTTACAATGACAAATATATTAATTGCATCTTTATATACACAAAGATATTCATGTACGTAGGTTAAATATTAAACTTTTATTGTTAATTGTATTTATTATTTAGCAATAACGGAACTATTGTTTTACTTATCATGTAACCATATAACCTCATTTTTTGTTGTAAGCTAATAGCCCTACGAGTGGAATCTGTACCATGAATTTAAAAAAAAAATAATAATAATAACGTATTTTTATAGCGTACCTACCGCATATATGTCTAAATAAAATAAAAATAAAATATTTGCGATATTTTGAACCTAAACCTTAGACTATCTACATAAACCTAAGACTATCTACATACTACTACCACGCTTTTCAGTCGTTCGATGGAATAAATAATATTACAATATTATCATGTTATAAGACACGCGGGTATAGTTAGCCGTTATATTGTTTTGCGTCGGAATTTTCTAGGAATCGATTATTCAAACAAAGGTAAAATGACTGTAACTCGTATTTAATAGCATCGCGAAATTATATTTTACTACCAACTGAACTGTGTTCGTTATGATTTATTTATCGTTAAGAAGCTTTTTGTCGGGAGGGCACTTGCACGTGTACACCTACTCCCTCCGCACTGCATGGAATACCAGAATGTGTGTTTTTGACATGCACACATAGTCCGCCTATTGAATAACTCCAATTTATCTCCACTTTACGGTGCGCGCGTACATCGATTAGAGTTTACTGCCAGCAGTGCTTTAACAACAGTATCGAACAATAATAGAAGCCAGAATAATATATTATGGAATTTATTTGATATTCCGTAATAATATCATTAGGTAGGTACCTACCACCGCCGTACTTGAGTTGCGCAGTGAAATGCACTTATATATTCTCACTTTAAATTTCACTCCGGCGAACGACTGAGTGTTGAAAAACATTTAATACTCGGTGCTACAAATCATAGCATATTGAATTTTCGGTTTGTGCGTGTTTGGAAAGGGTGCGAGACGATTTAAATCCGAGTTATCCTCAAAAACACATGGCATGGATCCATCGATAGTTTATCAGCAGCCTCTACCTCTATGCGCCGATATTGCCGGACAATTTTATTCAAATGGCAATCATTTTTAATCGTTTAATCGCAGCTGTTGCCCGCAGACGGAGAAAATGTATTTTTAATTACGCGCCTACCCGACACGACTGAGAGGGTCGTGATTTACGGTGGTCCTTGTTCCGTGAATAGTTGTACTTGCGACGGAATATTTTATCGTTTATTGCCTCGATTTGCGGATCGGACGCCGTTGCCGAAGAGCAAAAAGTTGGCGATTTGCCTGCGCATGAGCATGGCATAATTTAATATAATAACAATATTATAACGTATGAAAATTCGTATCCAGAGCCGCCGCTTGGGATGCGGACATTGACGCATGTTTTACACTTCCGATTTATCTGTAACCGTCGTAAAAAATAAATTGACAATACACATTTTCTCATAACTCATTACACGTATAAAACAGCGATACAGCGTACGAACCCGCACATCAATTTTGAAAAGCTGAAAGAAAAACTAGCATCTGTGCAAATCTCCGTGATCGAAAATGTATATTATATATTTTTTCACGCATTTTATTTTTACAATGCATTTTCACGGTGGTGTCGCGGGTAGTTATGACTTCGTCCTTAAGTCGTTGGATTACGGATGTTCACTATGTCAAAATCATGGGCTGTATAGAATGAATTTCAAATCTACTATAATTATAATATTGTATATTATTGTAATCCGTAGTGGGAGTTGTATTACGTTTTTTAACTAAAATATCAATTCGTTTTTGTGCGATGACTTAAAAATTATTAGTATCCATTAGTTATGGACGTTTCCAGTCAGTATGCAATGTATTGATCATGATTTCTTAATATTTCATATGTTGAAACACGTAATATGTTTAATATTAAGTCAGCGAAATTAATACATTATCAATACATCATTTATCATTAATATATTTAGTTAAACACTTACGTCATTTTTGGCGATTATAAATAATTATTACCTATGGCGCTGAACATTCCCAACCAGTATTATACATAATATTGAACATGATTTTTCAATTTTTTTTTTTCAACTGTACGTAACATGTTGTATGTTTATGTTAAATTTTTATCTTAATTAATATTAAGTATATGAATTTAATACATTATGTTTTATACGATATTTCACTAAACAGGAGCTTATTAAAATATATAGTTGAAATCGTTTTCACACTTGGTTGTTTTCTGAACTTTGATACTTCACTTAAATATATTATTGGTACTAACTTGTTATGAATAAACTTAAATAAACTTATAATCCCCGTATGTTTCGGCTTGTGACAAAAATTAAGTATAATAATGGTTTATTGTAGATTTTATATATTTACGTATATATTACTTTAAGTTAGCACCAACCTGTTCAACCATGGTGTATAAAACACACTATGAAACGCGGAAAATTCTGACGTGTAAGTATGAAGTCATTACGGCACACAAAACAACTGTTTGATTGATTGAAAAATTATTTTTTCCGATCTAAATATGAAATTGAATTTTTCATAAAAACGAAATGCATAAACTAATTATATTATTTACGAATATGTGACAATTGCAAAGTCCCATACGTCACAATGAATTATGCTGATTATCCTCTAACTAAAATTATTAATTATTTATCATTCGTCTATTAGTCAAATTATACTGAACATATTTAAAATAAAATTATTCAAAAAAAAAAAAAAAATGACTCCAATATACTAAAATTGACAGTGAAACAGTGATGAACAATAACCAAAAAAATTAAATGTGGGTACGAGGAAACAATAAAATATTCGTTGTAGTCAATAAAATAATATTTTATAATATGATAGAGGTACTAATATTCTTTTCACTTTATTATTGTGCTTTCACATTGGATTTTTATTCATTTCATGAACATAATATATTATGAATTGCAATAGTACAGTGTATATTATTACATTATATTTTCACAATGCCTGTCCCCTAGATATAGAATAACATTTTTAGTGGTCGGTTAATGGTGCTTACATCACTATCATCTCTTTCGAAAAGTTAATATCCGAGGAACCTTCAGTACATAAAATAATGTTAATTATTATTTATAGGTTGAAAGTGGGGTAAAATGAAAAAAAAAATGCAAATGCGTACCTCCTATATTATGTTTGCATATTAAATTATGTGTGATTAAACATTTTTGTTAGCTGTTATAGCCCCAAAAGCTTCACTGACATTCAATACACTATATTCGTATTCGATAGAGTGATATGTTTTTAAATATAATAGAAATACGTTTTGCTAATGTAAGTTTTTAAACTTGTGGTAATCCCATAACAAATTTGAAGAGTATGATTAGAGATATTTTATTTCCTAATGACCTCTCCATCTGTGCTTGAATAGTGATGTAATTAAACTAAAGAGGTACACTTACAAAGAGTGCTTATTTAATAGTTAAACACAGTTAACAACGCTAATATGTGAACAGGCGTTCAGAGACATATTATAATATAAACGATAATATTCTAAAATAAACATTTATGCTTTTTTAATTATTTTAAAAACTATATAAGACCATACAATTTGAAGAACGTGTCTTTTGTTAATTGAAAATATAATGTTTTATTCTAATACACAAAATATTGTTCAAACTTATTTAAATATTTTTAAAAACGATAAATATCGTTTTATAAATCAAAAAATTATTTGAATTTTGTGTTAACCTATAAAACTGTAGATCGAAATTAATACAACAATAAATAAATAAATCATATACATTAATATAATGTATAATTATAATGTATAATACTAATGCATAATGTGCTGAACAAATAATAGATACATACCAATGAATTCCAGACCACTAAGTTTCCAGGTTCCTGTCTTTGTTACCAATATACTGCTGGGACAAACATTGTGGTGGTGGACTTGAGGTGATAAAAAATCAAGGGCTTCGGCAATCTGAAAATCGTTAAATTAAAATTGTATTTATGTATTTACAATTTAAAAATTTTTGACATCTTACATGTTATGACTACTTACATATTGTATTTTCAATTATAGTGATTTGATGAGAGATGTTTTAGTTTCTAAGTAAAGTGATTTCATTTATTTATATTTTATCAATCACCTATTATGGCAGACAATGTATAAAATATTAATATCACAACCTTATTTAGAGTGATGAATTATTTTTTTATTTTAAAGTTATTTGAAAACTGTTTTATAAAATATCGAAAAATAGCAACAAATTCATTTTTATTTTATGATGACGTTATTTAGATATTTATTAAAATGTAGTTTATAGTTTTTTATATTATCTTTTAGTAGGTATCAAACTAATATATTCAAAACAATAGGAGAAAAAAATAATTTATAATCGTTTTTTGGCAACTATTCAATGTTTAGATTGTAAAAACACAATAAACAAAGCTTGGAATACAAAAATCTACACAAAAAAGGTCTTTCAGCTGCAAGAGTTTATTATTTCTTCTGTTTAAAATTTCAATTAATAATACATTGTATTTTACAAACGTAAGTACAAAATCATAAACTGCAGTTCAATCTACCTGATCGTATTTTTTTAGATGTTGTTTGATAAATTATTAATTTGTGTACAACGATTTATTAATGATATTTATTTTAAATGTTTATATTGAACATTTTTATAATTAGTTTTTTCAGGAATCTATTTAGTATGACTCACTTCTTACAAGATTAATTCAAATAAGTAGCTCGTGTCCGAGTTAGATATGTTTGTGTTTGGATTCAGGAATAAATAAATGTGTACTTAATATCAAAATTATTTTATGAATGGGATACCAAAAATAGACTACGGGTTTGAGAAAATATTATATAAACACGTAATATTTATGCAATTATAACTTATTCAGTAACTCGTATTATAAAATACCACAATCTGTAAATACTAACTGGATAATAGCTATATACATTCATAATACATTAAAATATAATAAATATTAAGACTTTTTTAAATAAATATTATTAAACTTATAGTAAATATTCATGTACAGTATACTATTGAAAAATTGTCATTAACTTTTTATTTGCCAGAGAAGCTTTTAACTTTTATACCGACGAAATAATTTATTTTGCTGTGCTCTTTCCTGTCAATATTCAACAATAAAATTTAACCAGGCAGATGAGTTGAGACATCTTGATATGAGTTCTGTATTTTTTTTTATTTTGTAAACTTCGTTTTGTGGTTGATATAACATTTTTAATAAAAAAGGATTAATAATGATTGTTGGATAAATATTTCCTTAATTTCCACTTGACGATAAATTAATGTTTTCAGAATTCTTAAAGTTGCCTCATAACTAATATTTTCATAAACACAGAAAATATTTTTTGTTCTGTCTTTTCATGTTTTCATAATACCCGATTTCGGATAAAAATGAAGAAGTTTTTTTTGGTGGCAAATTGTTTATTTTTGTTATAAAAACCATCAAATTTTAGATGTTTCAAATTGTTTTGAATATTTTTTTTGCAACACTCACCGGACCAATCATTTTAAATTGATTAAATAGGTGCAAGACATCGTTGCACCGAAATATAAATAACACTTACTCAATAATTTTTATATTCAATAATGAATTAAAATAATATGTATCATACTTTTTTAATGTTACAATTGACGTTGTAATCAATAATCAAAAATCTTCATCGTCTAATTTGTTTCACATAAGTATTATTATGAAAATGTATGCGGTTATACCATCATTATTTTTAATTCATTAATGAATAATAAAAGTAAAAATGTAACTTTATTTATCCCTGAATGAATATTTTTTTTTATTAAAAATAAAACTTTGCATGCACTTAATTATAGTACATCATTCACTGTAAAAAAAACATACAGCCAAGGGATTAAAAAATTTTTTTTATATAAAATAGATATAAATTCATCGAACAATATTTAAAACATAAATCTATAAAACTAAATAAACATTGCGTAGTTTAGACAGGGCGGTTCCTAGGGCAGAGAGAGTGGGGCTCATGTCCCAGGCCCCGCGTTCTCACCAAAAATGACAAGGGCCCGCTATTATGGATACAATACAAATTCAAGTTGATGAGCAAAACCAAAATGTTTATTTAAATCAAATTTTTAATGAGTTAATGATTAAAGGTGTTTGAGTGGTTGCGTTATTAGTACGAAAAAGTGTCAAACAGGAAAAACTTTTAAACCACCCGTAGAATAGTCGGATTCCGTTAATTTTTTTAAATTTCAAATAAAAAGAAATTTTTCAGGTTGAATCAAGCCCGATATTTTAAATTAATATTATAGAAGCTAAATTATGAATTTGAATAATATATAACATTCTTTACTTTGCAAACGTATTATTTAGCATTATTTAAAGTAAAATGAAAATTCGGTCTCTAACCCGACCCAAAAAAAGTTCTCATCTTTCAAATAAAAAATAAATCATCAAAATTCGACTTATAAATAAGATGTGATAATTTTCCTGTAAAGTAATTTTCGTTGATATAATAAACCGTATAACCTAAAATCTATATAACCTCCCTGAAATAGGTATCGGGAAGTAGATTAGTGGATAATGATTAATGATTATAATTAAGGTAGCAAAGTAAAACATAAAATGTAATTTTAAAATTATTAAAACTCAATTTTTAAAGCTGAAATTGATAAAAAAAAAAAAGTAAAAAATGCATTCTGTCCAAAGAAAAAGACACCATTTTAGCTATATCTAATGGGTATCTATAGAAAAAGAATTCTAACCAACTAAAATATAACGATATTATTCACACATTTGCTGATTTAAAAAGTAAATTTATTTCTATTAATTTTTTATAATATTCGTTTACTTTTTAGTTATCGACTTCTTTTATCAGTAGATATAATTACCTATATTCAGTTTAACTACCCAGTTTAAGTCAAAGATTCGTTGTGATATTAATTTAATTACTTATTCATATTGTTGTAGGTACAAGGTAGTATATTTTTGTCGGCCCATCATACAGGGTTTCTCGACAATAATGACATTTTAGGGCCTGCAATTTTACTCTGCCCCAACCCTCGAAAATCGACAGGACGGACCTGAGTTTAGAAGTCAAGTATTGATCATTTGTTAAAATATGCTCACTACTGATCGATACAATTTTGGAATTTTATGAATCATAACTTCATAAGTTATGATATTATGATTGAAACCACAACGACAAACCAAGGTTCCACTAAACAAATATTTTTTTTCGAGAATTTCGAATGCTGGCATTTCGTTTCAATATCAAAATATACTGTGATTGATGCTTAAATATTATATTGAAATAATTTAAAGTTATTTTTGTGAAGTACTTACCTGCTAAAATTTATTTACAATCAAAGAAAAAGCTTAGCAAGAACTAACAATAAACGTTAGTCTTACAAAAAAAATTCTTAGTAGCAATAGATAAAAGATAAATCAGAACAACTTTGAATCTAATACGATAACTTTCCGCTCCTCATGTCATTCAGTATTCTTGATGGAAATACGGAAACGATACGTCAATAAAAATCAGGAAAATGCTTTGAGTATGTAATAGCTTGAGATTACCAAAGTTATGTTTAGGTTGCATATTCCCTCAGGACCCAACTTGTTGAGCTATCAATTTAAATTACAATATCCAGCTAAGCAAGCTTTTGTCGTTTGTCAATATAGTTTAGAAGTGGATTTAATGAGCATAATCTGAGTACGTGGATACTTGGGTAAACACGATGTTATTTACTGTACTTATACCAAAAACAAATACAAACCATGTAACATACGATTAAGGGTTCTATTACATATTTTATAGATATGTATTTATCATGAGTTATTATAATATTTGTTTTAATTAAAAATATAGTTTCTATGCATAATCATAAGTCGAGTGAAAACGAAAAAATAAAATAAAATAGACAACAGTTCAATAAAAGTTATTATTTTATTTCACATTGTACGTGTAAGCCTGACATTAGCATTTTAATGTTAAATGACTAGGAGGCTTTGTTCCTTGCTTTCTTTGCTTGCCACACCTTGACAACCAATATCAAGTAAACACATTCTGAGCATTGAAAGAAGCGAGTGCGAATAAATTACTATAAACTTTGATGTTTTGTCTGAAATGTTTATTGATTTCACTATAGGTACAGTAAATCTTTCAATTCATGCTGATAGACATTGTGTTCAGGGAGTTTAACTTTTCCACGGCAAAACCGAGTGTTTGTAGCTTTCCCTTTTTTAAAATGAAAAGGAAAAGCATTACAATATTGACATTTTTTTGTCATATCACTGATATGTAAATATTAAGGCTCATTCTCTAATTTTTGTTTCTCGATTTCTTATGTTGATACTATTCTCTTGTTTGTTCATTCTTCTCACTATTTTTTCATTATATTTTTGATATTGTTCTTTTTATTTTGAAACGCACGTAGTCTTTATTTGATATTTGAAGCCTCTTTCTATCAATTTTAAAATAAAAATGTACAATGAAACTCTAATATATTTGATATTTAGTAATTATTTGAAGAAATTTATTAATTATTGATTTTTTTTTTGCAATAGAGACATGAAAAATATAGTTTCAGATAATATTTAAGACATTATAAGCTAATAGTTGAAGTAATGGTAATGTTTTAAAGATCTATGATACTTGATGTGCCAACATAAACGATAAAACAATTTTTATAATGATATTTGAAATGACGTGATTAATTTTCTGTACGACTTTACCATGAAAAATTATTGTCTACGTTTAATTCCGTATTTAATCACAATACACCACAAATCTTTGTTTAATCAAATAATATAAAACTCTTATATTTATAATGCACAGTTGATTTCTTATCCTCCAATTCAAGAGTATAATACTGCTGTTAATTCATTTCATTGGGTTATTAATTGAAAACCAATTTTAAAAACTACGATAAACACACAAATTACATCAAGAGGAAAAACCAGTTGTAATTTGACATACAAATATCCGTTTATGTGTTGAGGTGTATTTAGTAACTTTCATCACTAAATTAAAAGATTTCTAAAATTTATGTGTGAAAACGACAAAATAAAAATCAAAAACACATTTCATTATTTCCAACCTTATAATATAGGTACTAAAATAGTTTGTAGTCACTGCTTCCGATATAGGAAATATAGGCCACTATCGAATTTATATTTAAGACTCTCGTTCAGCATATAGCCAAGTGCGCCATATACATGAATTCCCACACAGATTTTTGCAGAGATTTAACAGTACTTAAATAACTCGTAAATTCTTGACGTAAACATAAAAATAATCATCAATTTTAATCCCAGCGGAGCCGGTGAATAACAGCCAAATGGTTGTTATCATCCTAAACCCCGAAGAACATACGACAGTTTCACTGTAGATCATCTCTTGTCAGATCCATTTCCGTCGCTGTTTAAGTTCTAAGAGGACTTAAGTCCACCATAAATCCCTAGCTTACACTTTTCTGTTCAATTTTTAATATATCTCATCCTAAATTAAACCTCATCGATTCTAATTGAATTGTACTCGTTCACATTCACGTATTGATTTCGTTTCTTCATAGGATCAATATGTCATCTTTGATATTTCTTATTTTTGATCTACACTGTAATATTGTCACTACCCCGTTACACCAATTCGGGTAACTACGCTGACAGTTAGGTCTTATACGACCATCACAATGTGCCGTGTACGAGTATACTGAGAGAACCAAGCGTTCAGAATTTTCTTGTTATTCATCAAACTAAATATTATTGTTTAGATAAAACAAATTGACATCGATTTATAATCACATCGTATTAAGCTATCCTAGCAAGGATTTTATAAAATGCAAATTTTAAAGAGATATTCACACAAAGATTTTGATATTTAAGATGGAAACAGAAAACATTTTGTTTTGTTTATAAATAGTTTCCATTGGTTAATCGGATATATGAGGTAAATGTATGCATCGAATAGTCACATTTATTTCTCAAAGAAATTATTAGAAGAAACTATATCTAAAAAAAATATGAGCATATTATATAATATATTATAATAATTTTATCTATGTGTTTGTTTCCAATTGACTTAAAAACTACACTACCAATTTTGACAAACATTTTAGAGATTATACTTAGAGATATTAAGAAAGTTTAGACTGGTTGGAACCAGTAACCACGTTAGAATATTACTATGATCTAAAATACCCGAGCTAAGATACACTAAGACCGAGATACACGAACATCATAACTCCATATTTAATATTTTTTCATTTTTTTCTAGGTGAAGTTTGGTTATACGGCTAGAGTATATTATATATGTATATGTAAGTATACTACTATTTTTTTTTATGAATAGTGTTGTAAGTACACCATACTTTGAGTTTAATTATTTTGAAGGCCATTGACAGCAACATTATGTGAAAAAAACATATCAGTTATATCATTAACACCATAAAAATAAAAATTGCGTTGCCAGCCGCGATTGCAGGTATGCTGTAGACCCAAGGTTTTTACAAATTTAATAAAAGCGTTTAATTGCATTTATAACACTTGTCACACATTTTTTAATAATTACGACCAAGTAGATATACTTTTTTGAGCATTATGAATTGCACGAATAGTTTGTAAATGTTTGATCAATATTTAAAATATTAAGTACTGATATATATATTTAATTCATTTATATATAAGTTGCTTCAAAGGAAATTTATAATTCACTTTTAGATTAAAACAAACAATCTATATATATATTGGTACAGTCCTTTTTAAGAGATTTTCTTTAAGCACAATTAGATTGTGTATAATTTAGTCAGACTAAGCAAATTTTAGCGAACTGTAATAGATTTATAAATAAATAATAATTCAATTTAGAAAATAACGACCACAAAAATATGTCTTTGGTATCTATTGCAGAATTCTAGCAATGACACAAATAAATAATAATGTATCGATCTCTAGAACTCATACATTTAAAATATGACAGGAATTTATAGTGAGAAATAATTTTAAAATACCTCCATAATAGTCCATATTATATAATATTATTATAGTTTACTATAAGTTATTGATTGAAATAAATTATTAAGACTTATAATAATCTTCATGTGCTGGATGCAGAGTTGAAATATGTACATTATAATGAACATGGTAAACGAATAGAATATGTTAATTATAATTCAGAAGTTAATTGTTGCAAGAGCAGTTGGCTTAGTACAATACTACCTAAACAAAAAACAGTCCATCTGACAAATTTTCTGAGTACCATAATGGCATAATCTATATTTATTATTTTATGAAGAAGTCATAAAATACACATTTTTTTAATATACATACAAGTAAAATTTGTCAGTGTGACTTATCACAAATTCCCTTCATTATATATATCATAATGCTTATATAGTTATAATATCACATGAAGTAGCCAAACTCTAGCTAACATTGATCAGGTCTAGGTTACAGAATAAATGAAAGAAACAGAGAAAACTTCTGGTCGGTAATTTCACGATTGTGAGACTTGAGGATCTCAGTCACTGGCGAAGAGAAATCTAAGTTTTCATTCCCCATCAAACAAAATGTTATAACCTATTACACTATCCTAAAGTTCTTGTCACTGGTTCTCCAGGTTAGGGGTTGGGCACTGGAATAAATTACTTACAGAATTCATGCATAACGTCAATACTGGGACTAGATAGTAAGTTTTAAAATACTTGATATAGGTAAAAAATAGTTTTTTAATTAGAATATTGTATTGACTCTGTTTCCTAACCTTTGTTAACCTATCGTGAAGTTGTAATATGTTATGTACTAAATATAGTTGGTGCAGTAGACGTGACACTCAAAAAAGTCAGATAGGATGATACTAGAACTACCAAAATGTCACAAACAATTATTTTTAGCAACGGATATAAACAAGATCACGAATTATTAAGAGCTGAATTCACAGTACACATGCATCGATTGTATATGTGATGAATGATTTAAAAATATTAAACCAAGTCATCTAAGAATATCAACCATAACCTATGAAAAAGTTAAATGTAGGTAGTATGACTAAAGTTAAGTTTTTACACATCAACTGATTAGAAGGATGAGGAATTTGTTTTATGTAAATCTTGTAGATATTTTTTATTGTTTGAGTTTTTTTTTATAAACTCCAACATAAATTTGATTCTATATAGCTATGTTATAAATCTTAAATTAAAATAATGCAGTTCACTCGTATACAATAATTCGTACGGAAACTATATCATGCGTTAATATTGTTCAACTTTGGGTCACATAATCCCAGCTTTTGGGAAAAAAGGAAAATAGAATAATGTTATGGTATTAAAATTTGTTACGTCCGTTGGCCAGATTTCATATTAAAACAATACTTCTTTGCTACGAGATTTCCTTGTAGCTGGTTTACATTGGTTTTACCATAATTTTTACTCACTTATAAATATAATATGCGATTTTTCGAGAAAATATATTTTATTTATTTTACTTACAATGCAAGGAACTTTTAGATCTAACGGTATAGGTACATTGGTACACAATATATATGTGGCTTACTTTGACGCATCTTCTGATCCACAAGAAAAAAAAAAAAAAATAATTGCTTGCTATACTTATTCCGTGAGTGATTGAAAACAAATATTATCTGAATTTTAATTGGTTATTTACGTAATGTAAACACTTGCATTTCCTATGTTAGTATCTATTTGGTCGTTACTTATTAATGACTTGTTTTCACGTTTATTTACATAATACATGTTGCAGATATATTATTTCTTTAGTATTTCTATTATAAAAGAAACACAATATTAATAATGATGAAACATGTGTAAACTGTATTTTTTTTTCATTTATTTTTTTAACTAGGCAATCAAGTAGTTCATTAATAATATTATTATTTTTTAAATATTCTTAAAACAATAAATAAATAAAACAAACTAAGTGTACGGTGATATTATTTAAAAATCAATGCATTTTCTTAAAATTATTACCTAGCAAATGATTTTAAATCATATCTTATAATAATTTTAAAAAAAAAACACGTAGGTACCAATTGTCTAAGCTGCAGCTAAAATATATTATACACGGATTAATTTATTGTAAATTGTAATATTATAATAATACCTACTTTTGTCGGAGGTTTGTGTATTGATTTCGGACAATTTTAGGAAAAAAAAATGTCTGGTCAGAATGCTCTATATTTTATAATTATAATAAAAAACGTAGCTATACCACCTATCATCGCTGTGAACGCGCAGGTATTGATTATATTTTAAACGCAGCCAGACGGCACGCGAAAACCGACTCACCTGTCTGATGCCGTACTTGATTTCAAAGTCCAAAAAGTTGTACTCCCTCGCGTGCGCGGGCCGTGGCATGGCCGTGGTAGTAATGATGGACGCGCCGGTGGACGGTGGCCCGTTGACGGCCCGGCCACCGACGGACGCCTGGTACGCGAGTATGTTGGCCAGACTGGCGATCACGGGCTCGGCGGCAAACGCGAGGGTGTCGTTGCAGTCTTCCACGGAATGTACCACCTTGAGGATGAGTTTTGGCTGTCTGAGCATCTCCAAGTAGTGCACGCTCTTCTTCAATATCTCCGTCACCGTCTCTTTCCGCCTGGGCTTGTGCAGCTTATCGGCCAATTTTTTTTCGAAAACGAATATCGATACCTCCTGCAATCAAAATAACGTGACGGTCAAATTATTATAATTTGTTACAATATGAAATGACGCAGTGTGATGCAAAGCGAACTCATTTGTGAGAACAGCGGTGGTGGTGGTTTTCGAGTGGTTTGACTTGGAGTAATATTTGGGTACAAACAAATCGATGGGCGCCCCTCACATCTCAATATACTTTTATTGGTCAGAGGTATGAGGGGATGGTTGGGGGGGGGTGGGCCTTACACAAAAACGATTTGTTCAAAGGCTTAAGATCGGGAACTAATTCGAATGCAAATTGCATTTTTTTCTGAATGACCTTAAACATTTCTTTCCAAGAACAATGTTTATTTCATACAACAAGGAATCGGAAACAGAACTTCTATTTTTCCATTTTTCGATATTTGCAGCGCATTTTATGTTTCTAAGTCATTTTTATATAATAATGGTTCGATTACACGATTCGATAACAACTTAGTTAACCTTCATTCTCATAAACAAAAAGAAAAAATTATTTATTTTGCTTTGTGTATTGGTAATGAAATGTATATGTAATGACAATACACATTTTTTTAATGTTAAAAATAATTTTAAAAGTACTTTTTAGTTCTTTTTTTAAAAACAATTCCTGTTACGATTACATTAAATCGTATTTTTGTAAGGAATTTTTCTTGTTCTTTAAAGCATCCGTTCCTTAAATTAACTACTCTTATAATGTTTATGTTTTGTTTGATGTAGGTATAATAATAATATTCTGCTAATAATATGCATAATATAAATATCTTGATATTAATCGATATTTAAGTACCTATGTAAAAGTTTATTCTTTTGTACTAAACTTAGATGATTTAATGATGTTTTATGTAGCCATTATATTTCCTGACGTACCAACTTGTTTTGCGTTACATTTTCCTCTCGATATTCAATGATAAAACTTAACGAGTTCGAGATGACTCGCTACGCGTTCGGTTTAATTTTTAATTTTAATAAGCTGCAGTGGGGTACTGTATAAATTAATGTATAGCGAAATATATCAATATGATATGGTTTAGTACAAATATATTCAAAATGTCCACTCCAGTACTTCACAATACATTGTTTTTTTCATCATTTTTAGAGTTGCATTGTTACTAATATTTTCATAACCACGGAAAACATTTTTTTGTGCTAAGTAAAGTTTTGTAGTTTTCATATGGAATTTATGGTAAAAATACAGAAGTCATTACTGATGGTGAATACGTATTTTTTTTAATGAAAACCGTATTTACTTTTAAAAGTTTGAATTTTTCTTTACACCATTAATTTAAAAAACAATTAAATAAACTATATAACAATAGTATGTGATTTGAAAATATTTAAGCTCAATCTTGTAAAATAAAAAAAAATGACAACAGGTATACATAACAATATAAACATAATATGGACCTTTCGTAATCATTCTGAAGGAGAGTATTTCCGTCCACTGAAAATCACTGGTATTGTTGATAATTCTTAGAACGCAATAAAAATATTTGATCTAGAATAAACTATGAAAAATAAACAAGAGCTATTTCCGGAAATATTAATTTGAAGAAATATGTATGAGAATAACAACAGGCGCATTCTCAATTCGTCTGTAATACTATTAAATTTAGCACAAAATAATGTACAACATAGTCTACCCGATCGTATTATTACTATGATACGTTGTTTTGATACTTATAAAGTTATAAATAATAAACATTTCTAAGAAAATTTACGCAATTACAATTGTTATTTAATTCCGATGGCTGAAAATGTTGTAAAAAATTCATGGAATGAGTTAGAATAAAAATAAAAAATAAACCATCTTTATCTTCGACTTAGGTAGTATACCTATGCGTGGTTAAGATATAGAATCAAAATAAATGTAATGAACTATACTATGTATATTCACATATTATTATGTATAAGATGCGTATGCCATTTTAATGTTTTAACCATGTTTTATTTAATTAGGTATACACAAACGGAGAAGTCCAAAGTAAGACCAGTGAAAAAAATTATATGTTTATTTTAATCCAATTGATTTTTACAGTTGGTTGTATTCATTTTCATTTTTTTTTTTTTATATAGTAGAACGTTTTTTTTTTAAATTTGGTCGATAGTCCATATTCGTTCTTTTATAATTTATAAATTTAGGAGATGTAGGTAGTTAGTTTAAGCCACACAGGCATAACCAAAATATTACAAACACAGTAATTTATTCTATTATTTAACTTATCGTGTAATATTATGTTTCTACTAGAATTGTAAAATAGGATCTCAGTGAAAACTTTTGTTACATAATTAGTATACTATGTTAATTATACTAACATGAGATAAAACTCACTTTTAGCTGATGTTATTGGATTTAAAAAGAATAAAAAGAATAAATATACAAATATTTTATAAGCCATAGGTAGAACTAGGTAAAAAAAATTCTATATTGTTGTACTATAATTTATAGCTATGTTGTCATTCTTATCAGTTATTTTTATGTAAGGAAGATAGTCTATATTAATTTTATCTTTACCTCATGTGTTAGTAAAATATTTTATACTAATAAAAAGTGTTATAAGTATAATGTATAAATCAGTTTAACTTTTAAATACTTATCAAGGTACTTTTAAAATAATTGTACATTGCAGTAGATTTAAACTTAATTATTATTGTTTGAAACAATTTTATACCAATAATGAATTTAAATTTCATTCGAAGTAACCTATAGAAATATTATAAGTAGTTTTTTGTAATATGAAATATCATAATACTATAATACTTTGTGTTTGATAAAATATTGTTACTTTGAAATTAATATTATAAAATAATCGGTAAAATGCTTGTTTTCCTTTATATCCGAATAACTGGTTATGTCTTTAAATTTCTTAAATTGTTTTCAATAGGTAGTTATATTTTGTCAATGAACCACAGCGTGCATAAAATGAATATTCAAAAACCATGAAAAGCAAGAGACAATAAATATGACTAAGGAGAAGACTCTTTGCAAACTAACTTGTATATTGATATTTATGAGTTTTTTTAGCGCAAAGTTTTATTGTGAAACTACAAACAAACAAAAAGTCAAATTTATTTTGAACGTTAGTTTTCACGCACCCTTCATCTATTATGATAAATGTTCTGTATTATTCAAGTATTTACGTGGTCATTCATTACATGAGGTTGGGAACTTAAAAGTATAAAAGACAAATGAATTATTTATTTGTGTAATATTGACATGCATGAATGGAACAGTTATCTTATTCTTATTATTATTTAGTTATCTATTTTTTCCACATATTTAAATAATTGAAATCATTAAGAGCCTCAAATATCAACCATGAAAAATATCATATAATAATGCATTTAATAAGCACATCACCTGAAACACAATATTGGGTAAGGAACTTAGTGGATGCGTGTGAATTAAGATTTTAAAATCTTATCAATTACTTTTAACGTTTAGAAAAACGAATCCTCATTGTCTGGCTTCTTTTTAACAACAAATGTAAATACAACTAATTAATATAATATATTTGTTGATTTTATCGATATGATAATAATTAGATTCATACAAAGATGGGGTAATCCCGAAGTTAATAATAGTTAAAAAGAACTTATTTTAGTTTATTAACTTAACTTACTCGGTTGTTAATTCATTAGTTTAATTTTATGTCAACTAATTTGGTCCTACGTTAACTTAAAACAATCAATACGTGTATTTATTTTTTATGTTCCCAATTAAGTTAGTTTTTAATTTATATTTCTGTTTATTACTGTATATAATGTCAAATTCATTGAATGCATAAAATGCCATTAGAAAAATAAGCATACCAAGCATTTTTGATAACGAAAAATTTCGTGTTATAATTTTAAAAATGAAAACTTATTTGTCATAATATTAATTAATAATAATATTGGGGAAACTCTGAACAATATTTTAATAAATTTACGACCTCGAGCACACAAAATTATACTTACAATGCTCATAAATGCGACTATCTTTAATTGTAGCCGTTAAAATAAATATTTATAATATAAATTATAGTATAATGTATTGATAGATACCTATAATATTATACAGTTTTTTTCATTTCCCGCAGTATTTTCAAAACAGTAGCTTAGTATTTAGCCCGATTGGTTGGGCTAAACTTCTTAATCTTTTTTTTTTTGTGAGTAAATTTACATTCGAATTTAGATTTAAATATGAAGAGAGTTCTATAAATTTCACAGGTATTAAAATATATTCATATAATATAATATATAACATTCATAAGGTTTATTAATTATTACTATCCATTATCCAACTGATCATCGTTTATATTAAAAGATTTTAATGAAATATTTTTTGAAAATGAACTTAGTTTATTAGTTTAATTTATGTCAGGTAATTATATTTTGTTACATAATTTTAAACTAACTATTGATATACTTGCTCACCAAGTCTAATAATTTAATTGAAAAAAAAGCGAGGATGGGATTTATATTGTGTCAGTGGGTGATTCTCAAAATCACACAGTTTCAAACTATCTTCGTATATGATTTATACTCGAATAATATTCTCTTTGGAAATATAATATAGTAAATAACTGTAAGTGTGACGAACGGACGGTGCTCATGGTCTACAATAGCATTCCTCCGAGAGGATCTTTGGTATTTTTATAAAAAGTCTCCGACAATACTATATGACCGTTTTTATATTTGCTTTTATAACTGTCTTCCGTGTAAAATTTCAGGTTTTTATGGTGCGTATTCCATTGAAAATTTCGTCTCAATATTGACTTCCCACGTCATGAACGTGGGTAGAACTGTTTACAACAGACGCTGCACAGGTGGCAATGCGGAATCTGGTTCAATCGAATATGCTGTGCAGCACACGTGTGGCTTGTGGTTGGAAAATAATTGATATTATTATGTAATAATGAGCGTTGTTCCGTAGGTGTCAAAAAAATGACAACTAAAATAACTATACGTGAAAGACTACACACCCGAGGGTCGCATGCCAGTTTTTTTTAAAA